CCTAGTAGTTTTATATTGTGCTATTATGACTTTTAGGAGCTATTTCACCATTGCTCAGGGAGCTGCTGTCTTTAGAGAACAGCTGTTTTTAGACACATGCATGTCCAGTCATGTCTTACAGTGCAGTGAGGACAGTTTGAAATTAGTCACATGGACACCCTTATTATTTCAGGTGGATCCTTAGGTTAAGTTTATATACATATATATGACCACCTAGCCTATATTAAACCATTAATTAAAAATCCAATATTATATTAATCCAACCATGTGTAAACAAAACAACAATAATAAATCTGAGAATGTGTTGCACAAAAATATTGTATCAGGTATTTTGAAATGGGAGATGCGTCCTATAAATTATTTCACAGAGAGATGCAAAAAGTGATTAAAGGGATTAAAAAAACCTATCCTCCAGTCACTGTTGGACAACAAGTCCTCCAGCCTAAATGAGCTGTGACCACAGCTTTGGTCTTGGTGCGTCCCTGAGCCACACTGCGCAACATTTTCAGATTCTCATCAAATGTGTCTCTGCTCTGTTGTAGCTGAAGTTTATAGTTGAGCACAACCAAGAGAGGGAAGTTTGCTATATGAGCCTTTGAAACTGCTATAAATGAACAAGCTGTTCCGCACGATTTCAAAATAATCCGCGTGTCAGTGTCATCTTTCTTATGCAAAGTAGCTGTCTTTGAAGGCGGATCTGTTGGCAGGTTAGACCGGGACTGAGGCTCCGACCAGCTCAGACAAACGCTGCCACCAAACGCATCAACTGCTTGCTTCTGGGAGAGAATAATCCGGCAATTCTGGGACACATTTCTTATTATCACCGGGGATATTTACTGGCTTATTTTGCTCACTGGTGAATTGTTTCGACTGCCTCGCGAACATCCATCCTGGAGCACTGAAGGAAACCAGTTTTTCCAAGTTGTCGCACAAGGACTTAAATCGCACTGTGACACAGAGATCCTGTGAAGAAGTGTCATGAAACGAGAGGACGGAGCAGCGAGTATTCTGAAAACAAGCAGGGAACAAATCGGAGCACAAAGAAACTATCTTTTACTCACAGTAGACTGATACACGGTGCAAGAGACTGAGCAAGTAGTTCTAACACTGCAGCCACAAACCGAGCGCTTCAAAGCATGGACCTCAACGCACGCTACTTGCAGCGAGAAAATCTTTTGGGACCGTCGCGGGATTTATATTTCAATTAAACTCTCCAAACCTAAAATGAAGACTACAATGGTCTTGCAGCAGCTAGTTGTGTAAGTTTTTTTCCCACTCTGATCCTACACACAAACACCAGCCTGGTTGCATCACTGACTTTTTAATGAAACAAACTTGTGTTGTGGTACTGGTGAATATTTCATCGATTTATTTCCCCTTAAATTAAGCGGGGAAGATGTGTTCGTTTGCTACTCTGAGCCTCATCTGTGTGCTGCTGGTCCTGTGGAATGATGGGGGATCAGCCATTGGCTCACTAGACCCTGACCCTGACTGGTCAAGAGAGGGGAGATGTCAACACATCAGCATCCCCCAGTGTAAAGACATTGGCTACAACATGACTCGCATGCCTAATCTTATGGGCCATGATGACCAAAAAGAGGCAGCCATAAAGCTGCAGGAGTTCGCAACACTGATACAGTTTGGATGCCACAGTCATCTCAAATTTTTTCTATGTTCACTCTATGCTCCCATGTGCACAGAGCAGGTGTCCAACCCCATTCCAGCTTGTAGAGTTATGTGTGAGCAGGTCAAGCTGAAATGCTCACCCATCTTAGAACAGTTTAACTTCCCTTGGCCTGACTCTCTGGACTGCTCGCGGCTTCCAACCAAAAATGACCGTAACAACCTCTGCATGGAGGCACCCAACAACAGCTCAGATGAGCCTCCCAAGGTCTCCCACACCCAACCTCCAGATTTTAGACCACAGCGGCCTCTGAGTGGGCAAGACCTGCACCTCAAGGATAGCAGTAACAAGCAGACATGCAGCAACCCTGGCAAGTTCCACTTTGTTGAAAAGAGTGAGTCCTGTGCCCCCAAATGCTACCCCAAAGTTGATGTATACTGGAGTCAGGGTGATAAGCAGTTCTCTCTGGTGTGGATGGCCATCTGGTCCATCCTCTGCTTTGTCTCCAGTGCCTTCACCGTGCTCACTTTCCTCATAGACCCGCAGCGATTCAAATACCCTGAGAGGCCAATCATCTTCCTCTCCATGTCCTACTGTGTTTACTCTGTGGGCTACCTTGTCCGACTTTTTGTGGGAGCTGAGAGAATAGCCTGTGACAGAGACAGTGGGGTCCAGTATATTATCCAGGAGGGTCTGGAGAGCACAGGCTGCACTATTGTGTTCCTCATCCTGTATTATTTTGGCATGGCCAGCTCCCTCTGGTGGGTTATCTTGACCCTTACATGGTTCCTGGCTGCAGGGAAAAAGTGGGGTCATGAGGCCATCGAGGCCAACAGCAGCTACTTCCACCTGGCGGCGTGGGCCATCCCCGCCGTAAAGACAATCATGATTCTGGTGATGAGGAAGGTGGCGGGTGACGAGCTGACAGGCGTCTGCTATGTGGGCAGCATGGATGTCAAAGCTCTCACAGGATTTGTGCTCATTCCTCTCTCATGCTATCTTATTATTGGTACCTCTTTTCTGCTGTCTGGCTTTGTGGCCCTCTTCCACATCCGGAAGATCATGAAAACAGAGGGAGAGAACACAGACAAGCTTGAAAAGCTGATGGTTCGCATCGGTGTCTTCTCCGTGCTCTACACTGTCCCTGCTACCTGTGTCATTGCCTGCTATTTCTATGAGCGGCTCAACATGGACTACTGGCGTATCCTGGCAGGGGAGCAGAAGTGCGTGAACAGTAGCGGGCTAGATTCAGACGAGTGCGTCATGAAGACTTCTGTCCCCGCTGTTGAGATCTTCATGGTAAAGATCTTTATGCTTCTAGTGGTGGGCATCACTAGCGGCATGTGGATCTGGACCTCAAAGACACTGCAGTCATGGCAGAATGTGTTCAGCATGAAGCTTTTTTTTTCAAGTACACGGCAGTCATGGCAGAATGTGTGCAGCAGGAAGCTAAAGAAGAGGACGAGGAGGAAGGCTGCCAGCGTCTTCACCAGCAGCAGACCGTACATCAAACCTCACCCATCTCTCAAAGGCCACAGTACAAACTACAAGCCTACACGGCCCCCTCCAACATGTGTATAAGGTGGCTCTCTTTGTATAAACCCCAAAAAATATTTGTAAAGCTCTTACCTAAACTAGACTTTGTAATTAGAGTGCCATCAAAAAAATCAACATTAATGTTTTATTTATGTAAACTGCATTGAAGAATGAAATATTTGTGTATCTTGAGCCATCTCATGCAACAAGAGTTGCCTTTGTTTGCAAAAAATACTGCTACTCCTGGATTCACTTATCCCATTGAGGACTCAGTAGAGAAAAAAATCTTATTGTTTCCAAGACAAACACAGTGGAATAAACCATTTGGATGTGCCATGGGGTTACTTGAATGATGTGCAATAGATGTTTTCCTTACAGGCAAAAAATACACTTGTGCTGTTACTGATTACAGACACTGAAAAGACCCCTGAAATAATGGAGGCATATGGTTTGAGAGATGAGTGTTGTGTTTGGCATTTTAATGGAAACCCAGACAGTGTCATATATGTTTGAACTGGAGTGAGAGCAGCTGTTGAGAAAAAAAAAAGCCTATTGTGAGGCAAATCTACGCCATTAATTAATCAAGCACTCGTTACTGAAAAGTTACTTGTACACGCAGTTGTTTTCCTTTTTTTCTTTGCTATTTTATAGCACAAGGAGACATTTGTATATATTTCTAAAGAAGTTGAGATTTTATAGAAAAATTAATAAAACGTTCTAGTTTTAAATGTTTGTCACACTGGAAGTGTGTTGGTATTCTCTCTGTTAGAATGAGTCTTCATCCTCATACAGAGGTTGCAACACTGCTTCTCACCTTCGCCATTGCGCACTGAGAGCAGTCGGTTTAATTCACCATAAAAATCAACATAACTGATCTAAATTAGTGAATGTAATGATATGTCAGAGCTGTAATTTAACTATTTGTCATCCATAAATGACTGATTTTACTAGCAGTTCAGATCAGCTCATAAATGTTGCACATACACTGCATATCTTCTACTATGGAAAAATACAGTTGTACATCTGAAAAATGATGGACCATGTTACTGAACTTTGTCGAACCGTTACATGCTAAGTCGTATTGGTTCTCAAGTCAACAGGAAACATAAACAGTGACGTCTTCGTGTTTCAAATGTTCATGAGGGAAACATTTATGTCTGTTGCCCTGTACCTGCAACTAACAGCAAAAAAAAGTAGGTGTGCATGTTTGAAAGATCCTTTGTGGCCTTGTGTTTGCTCTTTAGATACAATACAGAGGGTAACAAAGTCACCTTTGTGCATAAGTTTAAGTTTTTTTCATACAAAATGGCCCAAGAGGATTTTGATTTTAACAAAACAGAATAACATTTTATTGTCAGGTGCAGTTGCCATTTTTTCTGAGACTAGAATATTTGTGTTTTATTTTAACGTTCACTTTGAAACCATGTACATGGGTTTTCCTGTTAGTGGACATTTCAGAAGTGGTGATGTCTTCAAAAGGCAAAATTACACAACTAAACTGTCCAATATTTTAGCTGTGGCTGTCCTTGGAGTTTTGATAGACTGGTAATGATAGTTTTTATATTCATCGCTGCCTTTTTGCTGGGTATAAACCTTTGTACACATTTTCAGCTGAAGTGAATATACAACTCTATTTTAGCCCCCCAACCTCCTCACTTGCTGTGCTGCATGTGTCATTGAAGGGGTTCTACAATAATCCAGCTCTCATTCAGGACAGGATTAGACTATTTGAAGGGGTGGACTTTGAAAGGGGATTGCTACCAAACAAAATACAAAATATCTGTCATCTCTTCTTATCAACAGGGCATGGTAACATTTTGAAAGACACATCTGGCCTGGATTTGAAGTAGTTACAAATTGACTGAAACTGTTTCCAAAAGCATGAGCACACTGAATACACTGTGTAGTATTCTGACATGTTTGGTGTTAAACAATCCTTACACTGTAAACAGGTTTGAAGTGCATGCTCTGAGCGCCACAAGTCTAGTCTTAGATCCAAGCAATTACAAATTGACTTTTGTCTTCATAGTGTTGTCAGAGCAACAGGAAAAAATGGACAATGAAAGTCACTGACATGTACAAATATGTCAACCATTTAAGACACAATTGAATTGATTGTCAGAAATTAATGTAAATGTAACTAGGAAGCACAAAGCTATCCTTTTGGAAAAGAGGTCATTTTGAACTTTTTCCACCTTTTTAAGAAAGAAGATATGAAAGTGAAGCAGATGGAGAGTAAAACCTATGGTAGAGAGTCCATTCTGGTTTAATAAAGCTTCAGAAATGTAGTAATGCTTTATGCCTGAGGGCATTCAAGTTCCAGCGTCAACCCAACCCGTTTTAACAGTCAAAAGCACATGACTCACAACCTCTATGTGGCTGAATCAAAGTCAGCCAGTGTCTACTGATACTCTGAGTTGTGAAAAAGGTGTGAGTGCTTCTGAGAGCTTCAACAGAGGCCACCTGGATAACAGCCCCTGAGGTGTCTGGGAAGGCTGTAAATATAAATGACAGTTACCTCCCCCCTCCAGGGCTTCTTAGCCAAGCAGACTTTTCTTCTCTTCTTCTCCTCTCTTCAAAGAAAAAAATCCTGCTCAGAGCAAGGGCAAAGTATTGCTGCTGTTCTTTTTTTAAATCTCACTCTACTGTATATCATTGAACGCAGGCTTTTAAAAGTATAGATCTTATTTCATTAGATCGCAGGCTATCAAGCCAGGAGAGTCTCTCAGCAGTGCCTGCTGTTGCTAATCATTAAATGGACTTTGTGATGGCATGTTTTCTCTGAATCCTGCCACAGCCATGTGACTAACGCTAATGAATCTCAGATCCACATACCTCTAAACTCCACCAGGACAAATGTTGTCACCTCCACGTTCATCCACTTCCTGCCTCTCATTCATTCTGCTGTGCCATGCAGGAGATAGTGGTATGGCTTATGATGTGCTGACAAAAAGAAGCCTCTGCTTATGATCGGTGTTCTTGAAAGGGCATCAAACCTTTGATAATTACGTGATTTAATTGGATATGACTTGTTCACCAGCAAGCCAGGATTTTCAGCATTTCACACAGTGTAACTGAGCTGATGTTAAGAACCTTTGTGGAGCTGAACACTATTACAAATATAAAGATGACACGACAGAACAGTTAGTCCTCTTCTGCATGTCAAAGGCTTATTCAGGGTCAGAGGAAAAGCAACAAGGAAGCCTAATCACCAGTCCAAAGTTTAAAATCTTACTTATATCAATAAATGATGGCACCATCTTTGTTGAGTGACATTGTTGTATTCAGGGCTGTGGAGGTGTACCTTTGCCTGTGCACTTTTACTTTGCGTTTTGCTTTTGGAAGCAGTCATAAAGTTCTCTGACGCTGTGACATAAATGAAGTTGCTGGGATGACTGGCAGCTGAGGCAGCTTTCCTTTGATCAGGCTTTGTGGAGACGCCCCATGTCCTCATCCTCAGCTGCTCTAGGAGCACCTGTTTGCTAGTCCAGGCCTGTCTGGAAAGCAGTGCTTAGCCTCTCAGTGTCATACGCTCATGCATGACGCACACACACAACACACACAAAGGAATTTGGCTGGTGCTCAGAGGTGGATGGGCTTCTACCAACATGTATGTTATTAATGTGCTTGACCCATAATGATTCTGGTTTCTCATCAGACAGCTGCTCTAAATGTAAGTCTGTCATCTTTTTGAGAGTTCTGCCACATTTGGCTGGGCTTAAAAAAGAAATTGTTGTTGCATCATGACAAATGAAAGAGCTGTGTTTTCCTGCAGAAGAACCTGGTGTAAGACAGTTATTGAAGAATGAAACTTTGCAGTGTTTCACAGACCAAAGTGTTATCATGGAATGCAACGAAATCACCCTGTCATTCCCCAGGTTCTTCTGGCACCTAGATCCAGTATTCTGAGGATTATGGTAAAAGGAAGTGTGGGTGGGCTTTATGTTCTAAACTGATGTATATAGCAAAGAATCTAGGGCAATGTTAAGAGTACAGTATATGTGCCCAATCGGCAGTAACAAGCTACACTAATAGCTTACAGACACACACACACATCTCAGTCTGATGTGAAGGCAGTTGTTCCCAGCCACTGCTGAAGGTGAGAGTAATTACACAAAAACCTGGCAACAACAGATTCTCTCCCTGCAAGGCGGGGGCAGGGTGCTTTTTTCAAATGCATAATGAATTGCCTCGCAGGTCCTCTGCTGATCAAACAAGCATTTGATAGTGGCTTTGGTTTGAAAGAGGACTGAATATGTTTATTTGCATGTGGAGAAGTGAGTGACTTTGAGGTAGAGATCAGGCAGATTAGTGTTAACTGACAGAGACCTGTGCAAACAGACACTCCCCCTGCATACAAGCAGGGCAGAGACTCACTTTCTAGAAGGACCAGTTAGGCAAAATACAACAGTGAGAGCATGGCAACAACTGCTACTTTTCAGACATTGCTGTTTGTATTCCAGCCTCCTCTCTTAAACCCCATTTTCTTTTTTAAATAGATTTTGGCTCGATTGGTTTTGGTGCATGTGAAACCATGCACACTGGTAGCTGGCAATAACTATAAGAGATCAGAAATCCTATAACTGGGGGCAATTCACTGAAGATTGTTTTTTCTCTGAGTTCATTTTTAAAATTCCTTCAGAAGCACGTTCCCAATTAAAATCACTTTTATTTCACCAGAGCAATACGTTTGTAGGAGGTTGTTGTAGTGAAGGTGCAAAGAGGATTTTCAGCACATAGTAGATCATATCAGACCGCAAAATCTTACCAAGATTTGACCAGAGTCCAATTAGTACCATTGTCTCTCTCACTGTAAAAAATGGTTTTTGTTCTGTACTAACCAGTGAGATATCTCTACAGAACAAAACATTAAGCTGCACCTTTTACTCTCAAAGCAGTGGTTCAACATTTTGGCAAATGCGCTAATTCGCTTTCTTGCTCAGATTTAGGTGAGTGGATTGATACCATTCTCAATGTGTGTGCTAAACACGTACTTGGAAACAGCATATACTGTAGCTTAAGTTAGCATAAAGACATGGGGGAAGGCTGGGCTAGGCCCACCCACAAGTAAGAAAATTCCAAAATGTCAAACTGTTACCTTAACAACATGGCCACTTATATCTACTGTATCTAACTTGACAAGTAATCGGCACAGCACCCACATAAATCACCAAGAACTACTGCAAATACTGTTGGCATCCATGGCTGCAGTGTGACTCAGAAGGCTCTTCGCTGTTTGGTTAGAGATGTGAATAGTCTAAGGCTGGGCCCACATTAGAGGATTTTTTTTATCTTAACTGATTTTAAAAACCTAGGAGACCACAGTCATAACGACAGCTTTAACAGATTTTTTTTCACATTTTAATCTTAAGAGCACACACACTACATGATTCAGTCAAGAGGTAGGATCACACACTTGCTGTTTTTACTGAACAATTTCAGAGAAGCAGATTCCACAGACCAGGGATCAAACAGAAATTTGCATAGTCAAACTTCAGAACAAAACAAACATGGACATTGTCATCAAGCAATAGTGCTTGTGTGTGCGATGTTTTGCACAGAGAAAAACGTGTAAGTGAAGTCTTGGCTGAGAAGACAAAACCAACATGGCTTACACATTTTGCAGCATGAGCTGGAGGTGATTTGGAAATAAAGAAAAGAGAAGGCTAGTGCAAGCTAATGCTACAAACAGTTGTGATGATTCCCGGCCAGCTTGCTGTTACTGGCTGTTCAGATGTCTGGTGTGATTCAGTCACTGATGACCCCACACTACAGGATTCCAAGTCATAAATATCAAACATACTTGATTTATGATCGGGGGCCCTCTGATCCTGTCAGAGTCATAAAGATTAGGTTGTTCAACACCTCATGCTACAAGATCATTTGGCCCTAGAATCGCTTCCAAACGGCCTAATGTCAGGGAATGCCCACATGATTGTCAGGAAAGGCAGATCTGGCCCAAAATTGGGCTAATTATGCTGTAGTGTTGGGGCTAGCTTTAGCAAAAGACTTTAATCTTCTACCTTAATCCACACAGCAAAGAGCGCTGATCATTTTAACAGTCATCTGGGAAAAAAGCAGAAGTGGAGATGACTTTCCTTTGCATGGGTACATTCTCATACCAACACCCCCAAACACACATATACAGACACACAAACAAACAGACAGTTTCTTTAGAAAATGATTTTTTTTAACAGCTTCTTGAGTTACATCACAGAAAGCACGTGTGATACCTATGTATTTAACTGCATGTATGTATATATGATTGGATGCATGAATCTGTGTAACCATGCAGTTGTTTTTGACATATCTTTTTTTGTTTATTCTTTTTTCTTGGAGATGTTACAAAGGTAGTGACAGGACTGATGATGATGTGGAGAGAGCAACCACAACAGGAGACTGTCTACGTGTGTGTGTGGTGTGGATGTCTGTGTTTACAGACAGTATATAGGCTATATAGAGGAATAGACAGAGGGAGTGAGATGACAATGGATCTGGCAGGGCTCATGAACACCACTGAGAGAGAATGCCTATGGTTCAAAGACACTCTCAGCAAACCTAACAAAGATGGATAGCACAGAGGGGGAGAACATGAAAGGAAACTACACAATCAACTCACAAAGTTGGAGAAAACATCCTGGCCCTGCTGGCAGAATATACTGTATGCACACATTTGACTATTTTTACATAAACTATATGCAATGGACACTGACAAA